CATTCATTCATCTGTATTCTATTTTGTAATATGTTTCAGGTCAGGCAAGACAAAAATGTATTCATGTCTTATTTTTATGTTTTATGGTGTTTGATTGCACTTCCCATTTGGACAAATGTGTTATGATCTATGAAATGTATGAAATGTGTTATGACCTGTATGAAATGGGATGTTGGTAGTCCAAATGTCTTCAGCCTATCCAGACATCCACCGACATCTGGCAATGTACTAACAATGAGGCGAACATAATTCGGAATTCTTCTTTGTAGCCATTCCAATAACTGTCTTGCACTATTCTCATCAGACAGCTGGTCCAAAGAATCAATGAGAATGAACAAAGGGACATCTGCATTTGCTTTGTTTAGAAGTTTTATGAATTCTTCGGTCAGCTCAGAGTATGTTTGTGGAATGAACTCTTCATTGGCCCCATAGATGCGTGCAATCTGTCGGCACAGACTGAGCATCAATACACGACCAGAAGATGAATCCGCAGAGGTACCACAGAAACGGTAGATAATAGCAAGATCTGATCCAAGGTATCGGTTTTGTACATCTCGTACAACTTTGGATACCAGCGCGGTTTTACCAACGCCAGATTCTCCATAAATTACCAATGGCATCATGGGATCTTCACCATCAATGTGTTTATGAATCTTGGAAAGTATGCCTGCCCTCCCTACAAAGTTAATGGTATGTTCCCTACAGAAGAGTGCATGTCGAGTTATTTCTTCTTCCAGTTTATCAATTGGTCCAATCTGGCTCAGGACACGTCTAACATTCATTTTTAAGAGAGATTTTACTTTCTCGCACATTTCTGTAATTGAAAACAAACAAAGAATAAAAGGCAGGACTCCAGAAAACGTACCTACACTTTATGCAAACTTTTTTTAAATTATGCTAATTTATTTATGACATGGCAAATTCTGTGCTCATGAATTCTGTGCTCATTATTTTTGGGGGCAAGAGTTAGAAAGGGGGATTAGCAATCCTTAGGCGGTCAATACAAAAGAAGGGACCCATTTGGAGACCAGCAATGCTCCTCATGTCTGTTGTTGTTGTTGCACGTGACTTGCAGCTGTCAACAGCGTTGGTACTGTGACGATTCGCCTACTACGACTGGCTTAAATGTGAGGGTGTATTAATTCTTGTGCTCTGTTTTTCTGACTTGAATTCTTGATATACAGAAGTTGCTGGACATGTTTTTAACGTCTTTCATATCTTGTCTTGTCAGAGTGTCCAGTCCGTGATTTGATCATGCAATCTATATGGCTTAAATGTCAAGGTTGACATTTATTGAACTTTGAAATGAAAACATTGACAGTGGCTTGAAACAACAACAAAACATAAAAATAATAATAGCGAAAACAATGGCGCGAGGACCTCAAGTTGTGATAGAACGGTTTTAAACCAATCACTGATCGCGGTAATAACGTCATAGGTCAAATGCAATGTATGATATAATAGGAATACGAATAATCTAAACTAAACATCAAAGCTATTGCTGCACAGAAATAAAACAGCGAATGGAATAATAATTAGCAAACATTTTGATGTCTAACTAGACAATTCAAACTTAATTAACAAACACACCTATGATTTGCATCTCGCCCCGACAATCTTTGAGTTCTCAGCGCACTGTTCTCACTAGCATTCAAAAATCGTACTAACGATTCGAACCAGCAATCTCTCACATTGCTGGCATTGTACATTTCCACTGAACCATGCAAATAAATGATTTGTTGTCATATTTAGCTTTATTGTAAATTAGTGTTTGCGAGGAATGACAGGCAGGTATGGGAATTGAACAGACAACTGACCCACAAGACCCATGATGGATTGACTGGTTGTGTTTGCATTTGATGAGACTATTTAGTGTGTATATATATAGAAATACAACATATTTCTATTATTGAGTTACAATTGTCCAAAAAATTGCCGATTTTGTGTTTTTACTTAACCCGTTAGTGTACATCTTGCCAATTGGGTGTTTGCCATTTGCGTTGCCCATACCTGACCCGACCCTAACCCTAATGCCAAGATTCGTTCCTGTTAATAATTCCGTTGCCCATACCTGTTAATAACTGTTCAATAATGATACTCAGTTGTGCACTGTCTGCGGGTAAGTTGCATTGATGTCAACTGATTAAACAAGTCACGTTTAAGTAATTTCCATTATTAACAAGTGGTTAAATTGTGATAATAAATGTGTGGACAAATATTTAAGACTAATTTTGGTGTAGACAAGTCGTGTTTAATTAATTTCCACCATTAACAAGTTGTTAAATTGAGAGAATAAATGTGTGGACAAATATTTAATACTTAGTTTGGTGTAAATAACTCATGTTTGATTAGTTCCCACAATTACAAGTTGTTAAATTGAGAGAATAAATGTTTCAACAAATATTTAATACTTATTTTGGTGTAATCAACTCATGTTTGATTAATTCCCACAATTACAAGTTGTTAAATTGAGAGAATAAATGTTTCAACAAATATTTCAGACTAATTTTGGTGTAGACAAGTTGTGTTTAATTAATTTCCACCATTAACAAGTTGTTAAATTGAGAGAATAAATGTGTGGACAAATATTTGAGAATTATTTTGGTGTAAACAACTCATGTCTGATTAATTCCCACAATTACAAGTTGTTAAATTGAGAGAATAAATGTTTCAACAAATATTTAATACTTATTTTGGTGTAAACAACTCATGTTTGATTAATTCCCACAATTACAAGTTGTTAAATTGAGAGAATAAATGTGTGGACAAATATTTGAGAATTATTTTGGTGTAGACAACTCTCGTTTAATTATTTTACACCATTACAAGTTGTTAAATTGAGAGAATAAATGTATGGACAAATATTTGAGACTTATTTTGGTGTACACAAGTCGCGTTTGATTAATTCCCACAATTACAAATTGTCAATTGAGAGAATAAATGTTTCAACAAATATTTAATACTTATTTTGGTGTAAACAACGTGAGTTTGATTAATTCCCACAATTACAAGTTCTTAAATTGAGAGAATAAATGTGTGGACAAATATTTGAGAATTATTTTGGTGTAAACAACTCATGTCTGATTAATTCCCACAATTACAAGTTGTTAAATTGAGAGAATAAATGTCTCAACAAATATTTAATACTTATTTTGGTGTAAACAACTCACGTTTGATTAATTCCCACAATTACAAGTTGTTAAATTGAGAAAATAAATTTCTCAACAAATATTTAATACTTATTTTGGTATAAACAACTTGTGTTTGATTAATTCCCACAATTACAAGTTGTTAAATTGAGAGAATAAATGTGTGGACAAATATTTGAGAATTATTTTGATGTAGACAACTCTCGTTTAATTATTTTACACCATTACAAGTTGTTAAATTGAGAGAATAAATGTATGGACAAATATTTGAGACTTATTTTGGTGTACACAAGTCGCGTTTGATTAATTCCCACAATTACAAATTGTTAAATTGAGAGAATAAATGTTTCAACAAATATTTA